GGGGGGGACAAGTGGGGGGTGTGAATCACCACACCGCTCTTGCTGCCCATTCACCCATGAGCCTTCTACAACAGCCCAGATGTTGTGCTAAATGAAGTATTTTGGATTATCTATAACTGTTCTGTCTCCCATTACCAAGTTTAACTGAGACGTGAGAACAAGTCATACTTTTGTCATCCCCCTCTTTTTTTTTTTTTTTAATTGCACAAGACATTATTAAATAGTACACTTGGGAATTCTACCAGGAGTTAACATTTGTAGCCACCACTGTTTCTAAGAACCCTTTCCATTGTCCAAAGTCTCAGTTCACATTGCTGGAACATCTCTGTGACTAGACTATTTATCTCTTTATGTTCTGCCTCAGAGCTACAGTTGATAACTCCAGTTGTGCACTTTACTTAATTGTACATGTCTAATCATCTAGAAAATATTACTTTTTTCACAACAGAAATTCTGTGCTTTTGACATGAAGCAAAGTAATGATGACAGTGCCGACGACGGTGATGATAACGACTGGAGAGATGATCAGCAGTTAAAAGCACTTGTAGAAGGCCTAAGTTCAGTTCCCAGCTCATAACCATCTGTAACTCCAGCGCCAAGAGATCCACCGCCCCCTTCTAGCCTCTAGACGAACTGCATGTATGTAGCACACAGACACACACACAAGCAAATAAATACCCATACAATAAGCATCATTGTTTTATTTTTCCTTTGGTACTAGAGTTGAACCAGGGCCTTGTGCATGTCAGGCAAGCACCCTACCACTGAGCAGTATCTCAAGCCCTCACTCATACACTAAAAGTGGAAACAAGAACAATAATAAAGCTGCTTTATAATCTTGTGCTTTACAAAAACCGTAGGTTTCAAAATCATACCTCTAAAAATTTAAAAACGGAAAACTATAAAGAGAGGTCATCTTAGTCTTTCCTGTTGTGATTCTTATATGCAAAAAAAAAGGTTTCTTTAAAAACTGTGTTTTTGTTTTTTTTTTCCCAATGAAACTATATAGCCTTGCAAGTTTGTACTTCTTCTTTTGGGTTTGCCTATAAACCGAGTGGCTAAAAGCTGCAGCCCTTGTTGCTTTTTTTAGCTACAGCAATTCTTGACATCTGTTTGTGTTTAAGCGATGACACAATATCAGAACACGCAGTGTCATCGTGTCACATTGTTATAGCACAACAAGAAAATTACAGCTCCCCAACAATAACATGGTGTCAGAAGTGTCCGCTTGGCGGTGAGTCAGTGCTTTAGAAGTTACAAGCTATTTTTAGCTCATCCAGTGCTTCTGAAGCTCGGGTTCCTAGGTCCCAGCAGATAAGGAAAAATCTAGGGTTACAGTGGGAAGGAGCCTTTTGGGTCCCCAAGTACCCTTTCCTGGCATATGTGGCTCCCCACTTTCCTGTCCAGACCACATCAAACACGGGTTCCGTAGGGAAATTGCATGCATTTAGGGCTGGATCCCAGTTCTTCTGAGCCAGGCCAGCATCCCTGTGGAGGAGGAGAAACTATAATTATCTTCCTGTCTGGAATAAACCCTGGGATGACATCTCCCGGGTGACCCTAGTGCCCTCAGAGCGCAGTTCCACCGCTGCCTAGGCGCGCGGTGCAGGCGGCCCTTACGGGTTCTCCATGCTCTGCGACCCTCTCCCGGGTAGACCGGTCCCCAAACTCCTGCTCCACAGCGCGCGGCGACGTTGCCATAACAACCGGCGCGCGCAGCCTCCGCGGAGGAAGTGACGAGAGTGGGTTGGCTGTTGTTGGGACACGTGACCCGGGTAGTGTTTTGACAGGGCAAACAGTGAGAGAAAAGAGTAGAGAGCGAGCGAGGCGGGCAGGCAGCGGGGCCGGTGGATGCGCGGGGCGCGGCATCTCGGCGTCCGGGCGGCCGCGGGGTCGCTGTGCGCCCTGCGCTCGGGGAGGCGTGGCCCGGAGCACGGAGTGTGATGTGAGCGGCCGGGCGGCCGCGGAGAGCAGTGCCGGGAGGAGGAGCGAGGGGTCCCGGAGGGCGGCGAGCGGGCGGGCCATGGGAGCCGCTCCCGGGTGGGCAGAGCCACGCGTGGGTCGGCGAGGCTGAGGACATGCCCGGGCTCTGCTGCTGACCGCCTCCGGCGGGAACCCGGCTGCCGGAGCCTCGGCGAGGCTAGCCAGAGGGGAGCCCCGCAGGTGAGGCCCGGGGGTGCTGAGGGGGCTGCTGCGCCCCGGCCCCTGAGGAGGTGCCTCGGTGCCCGGAGGAGACTTGACCAAGGGCTGCCTTAGCTCCTGGAGCCCGACTCTTCCTCCTCCGTGCCTGTACCTCCAGGGCATAAATAGATCCTGCCTGTGCTTCCGAGACGCTGTGTCAGAGGAGGACACCTTGGCCTGGAGAGCGCAGGGGCGGGGAACAGGGGTGCTAGGCCCGAGGACGCCGTGGGAGGCGGTGCGCAGACTTGAGGGTTTTTGTTTTTTTTTCCCTTCAGACCTACCCAAGGTTCTGTCACCACAGTCTGCACCAGGAAGAGGCCTAACTTAGTAGTTTTCTTGCAAGATCCGAGGGTCAAAACAAGACCTGATTGTTACTTTTTTTTTTTTTTTTTCAATTTTGATCTCTTAGCGTTTGCTAAACCGAAGCAGAAGCCGTTGAGTCAGCGTTTGTCCGGTTGGAAAGAGCCCACACCTGTGTTTTGAGGCACTTTGGGAGGAAATTGGATGCGAAAATGAAGCCAGACCGAGGTAAATGATTTATTTAAGTGGGGCTTGAGTTGTGTTCTGTTTCTCTGTCTCTTTTGAGAGGCGTTAACCTAATTTTCCACAGGATCAAGCATTCCTGTGTCAGATGTGACGAACAGTCTCTGTGAAGACATCAGCCGCTGAGGAAAAGATGGACTTACGGAGTAGGTGGTTAAAGTCAGATGGGAGGAGGACCCGTTCTTAGGCAGTGTTTGGTGTGTGCCAGAAAGAAGTTGTCAAGAGTAGCACTTGTGAGTGGCCACAGGCGTAGAGTCCTTTTTAGTTGCTGTTCCTCATTTCTTTTCAGGTAAAGTCAATCCAACTTCAGAACTCTGTCAACTTTTGGAAGTTGAGTTTGAACTTCATTAGCTTTTGTTTTTGTTTTTTGGTTTTTTTTTTTTTTTTTTTGTAGTGTGTTTGTTGTTGTTGTTTGTTTTTTAGATAGGGTTTTGTCAAGTTGTCTAGGCTGACACGGGTCTCACCATGTAACCCGGGCTGGCCCAGAACTCACTCACTAATGATCTTTTTAACTTTGCCTCCACAGTATTGGCATTACAGGCATGCACCGCTGTGAACCCGCATTACTTGAAGTTTGTGCTCTAAGTGAATTTCAATTGTTTTCAGAGTACCCCAGCCTCAGTTTCTCAGTTGCACAATCAGGGCCTAACTTTCCATTCTAAACCTGTATTTTCTTTTCTTTCTTTTTGTGGAGGAGGAGGCAGGGTTTTTCGACAGGGTTTCTCTGTGTAGCTCTGGCTGTTGTAGATCTTGTTCTGTAGACCTGGCTGGCCTTGAACTCACAGAGATCTGCCTGCTTCTGCCTCTCAGGTGCTGGAATTAAAGGCACCACCCAGCTCTAAACCTGTATTTTCAAGACTTAGAGAATAATGTATATATCTTGCCCCTCTTCCCCCCAACCCTATTATTTTGAATGAAATATAAAGGTATCTGTCACAACTCAGTGGGGAAAAGTGCCACAAAGCCTGGTGATCTGGGTTCAGACCCCAGAACTTACAAGGTAGAAGGAGAGAACTGATTTCTGAAAGCTGACCTCTGGCCTCATCTCATGTCCCTTTGCATACGGTGAACACACTGACCCAAAAAGTGAATATTTTTAAGGTAATTTTAAAAAATGCCTTAAAAGGAAAAGGTTTATCATATTACCCCAGGCTGGCCTACAGCTAGGACCTCTCCTGCCTCTGTCTCTTGGGTGCTGAGACTGCAGGCACATAGCACCACACCCGCCTCATTTTGCTTTTCAAAGAGGTCAGAAGAAGTTTATCAGCCTTGTGATTAAGGATCAGGGCAATTCTGGGAGGAGTTTGCTACAGTAGGGGTTAGTAGTGAGGGCTTCTTAGGTTTGAGTTTGACTCCAAGGAATTATACAGTAGGTATGTCGTATGTGGAAGAAAGGGCTAGACAGCAGCATTCATTCAAAGCTGAGCTTCCAGGGTTGGAAATAGTGATTTATCCTCTGAGGTAGACTTACAAGAACCTAAACATCAAAACCATTATTTTCCTGTATATATTTTTCAAAATGATTAGAAACACAAATATACTAGTTAAAATGTCTTCTGGTCATAATGTTTATTAAAATATACTAGGGAAAAGTGGGAGACAGCTATATTTAAAACATGCTTTAAATTATTTTCTGGGTGTCTTACTGTTAATTAAAATGAGTTCGTTGTGAATGCCTGTAGAAGTGTCATCAAGTACATTGCTACCAAGAGGAGCGCCTGTGTACCATGCTAAGTTTAGATTTTTAGATTACATCAGTGACTGTGGAAAAACTGGCACCGAGGTCAGAGGCTGCGTCTCAGAATAAACAAGCAAATAAAATCAAAGTCACTGTTTGTCTTGGATTATTGTTAAAAAGTTGCTTAAGCCACAGCAGCTGAAAAATAGCATTTACAGCAGAAACTTTTGAAAAGTTGTTTTGTCTTAGGTAGAGTTGTAACTGGGCCATAGAAGGTTTAGTTATATAATGATACAAGTTAATAAGGAAAATAAATCCATTTATCAAAATTCCCATAGGCGTGAGAGTAAGTTTCTTTCTTTCCCTTGAAAGTTGTTGTTCCCTTTATTATTCTCAGGTAAAAAATGGAGTAACCTCAAGTCCAGTGTTGTGATTTTGTTTCATAAAAACATAAACTGTCATGGATTCTTCCATTTTTGCACATGATTCAGAGTAATTACAAATTCTTAACAAACTTCTATAGAAACACTGAGGTAACTTTTTCATGGATTATTTTCATTACTATTTGCAACATGCTCTTGTATGGTCTCACTTAGCCCAGGCTAGCCCTCAGCTTACTTTGTAGTTGAAGCTGGCATTGAACTCCTGATTCTCCTGCCTCTACTGCCCATGTGCTGGCTTCTATTTTAGTAAAAACAGAGAAAGAGGGGCTAGAAAGATGGCTCAGCAGTTAGGAGCACTTGCTGCTCTTCCAGAGGACCCGAGTTGAGATCTCAGCAACCGCATGGTGGCTCACAAACACCTATCACTCCAACTTCAGGGCATCTAATGCCCTCTTCTGGCCATCACACACACACACACACACACACACACACACACACACACACACACAC